AAAAAAAAAAAAAAAGCAGATTTCCAACTCATGGTCCAGGGGTTTGTTGACTAAAACATCAAGAGAGCAGTTGTGCTGTCAGGCTACCAGGAGTAACAACCAAGTTTGAACAGGCAGAAGTGATAACAAGTGGAAAGCAATTGTGATTAAGCAAGTGATTAAGATACAGCCTTGTATCACCTAACCCCAGTGAGAATGGCCCACATGGCAAAGTCTCAAAGCTACAGATGCTGGCATGGATGTGGAGAAAAGGGAACACTTTTACACGGCTGGTGGGACTGCATATTAATACAATCTCTTTGAAAGGAAGTATGGAGAATCCTCAAAGAACACAAATTAGACCTCCTATTTGATCCTGCAAACCTATTACAAGGCATCTACTGAGAAGGAAAAAAAGGCCTTTTTTTCTTAGGGCCTTTTGCCTAGACTGTTTATCACAACTCACTTTACAATTGCCAAAATGTGGACACAGCCTAAATGCCCACCAACCCAGGAATGGATTAACAAGCTGTGGTATATGTATGCCATGGAATACTATTCAGTCATTAAAACAGATGGAGACTTTACATCTTTTGTATTAACCTGGATGAAAGTGGAACACATTCTTCTTAGTAAAACATCACAAGAATATTCGTTTTCATTTAGTAAAATCATTTTGTAACTTGAAAAAAAAAGCATCACAAGACTAGAGAAGCAAGAATCCAATGTACTCTATTCTAATACGAGGGCAGTAGACGAGCTAATACAGGAGAAGAGATGAGCAAGTGGGAAGAGGGGAGGAGAGAGGGATGGAGGGTCATGCTGTATGACATACCTCTTGAGGGTGGAACACAACTACAAGAGGGACTTTATCTAACAAATGGAATCAGTGCACCCTAATTCTTTGTACCCACAAGGAATCCCAAACAATAAAATAAAAATAAAAATAAAACATAAAACATTTTAAAAAAAAAAATAGAAGATAAGGCCTCATGTCAGAAATGTTAAGATGTGAAAAAATGTGCATTGCAAGATTGGTGAACTAAGGTCCATGCAATAGAAATGTAAAAACAAAATTGCTCTGGCACATAACAGACTGTTTCGTGTTCTAGGTATTGTTAATAGCTTTAAAAATTGTTCACGAAAACTCAGACGTTTGCAGATTCTGAGTATTTTTAGAAGGCACATTCCTAGCAACCCCCGACTCTGGGCTCACTTCGGAACCTAAGGCCCTGCACCATCTGGTCCCTGCCAAAATTGCCAGCTTTAGCTCTGGCTACTCTCCTACACAGCTTCTGTGCACCAGCTTTTTAAGCTTTTTAAGGATACTTTGTAGCTCCCTAAACAACTTGTCTTTAGACCTACCTCTTTGCATTTACACCTGTTATTCCATCCACTGCTATGCCATTTCCCACCTTGTCCTACTGGTGAATTCCTACTTAATCCAAATGCCACCTCCTCCGGGAAGCCTCCCATGATTTCTCTAGGCCCCTACGGCCCTTTGGCACATCAGGTTGACAGTGCCTGTTTGTGGTTATGCTTCTTCCATTATACTGTGATTTCTCTAGAGGCAAATGCAGCCCTAGTCACCCATAGCAGTACTTGGAATAGCATGTTCTCAGCCAAGGCCAGCCTGAGAAATGAATGAGTGAAAAGTTGTCAAATGATAACTAAGTAGCTGCCACCTATGTGACGTGATTTGAAAAATGCTGGAAAAGCCCCACCTCCCATGTTCCCGGTGGACCTTTATAGGTGTCCCCTGATGAAATGAAAATGCCCTTAAGTATTACCTTAACCTTTTTATTTGTAGACATGGGACATAGCAAGAAAAAGCAGGGACCAATTAATCGTATCAGAGTCTATCTATGACAGCTGGCTGGGAATACTCTCTACCAACACTGAGCATGAGAAAGACCTGAAGAGGGGGAGAGGCCACCCTGAAAGAGGAAAAGAAAATATCAGGCCTCGTATCCTTCTTCTCAACTACCACCACCACCCATCTGAATTAGGTGCCCCCACACATGGAGCCCAGGGGCCTCCCTCTCCCATCACGCTGTGTTAACAATGATTTCCCATCTATCTCTCTTTCCTATACGATATCATGAACTTTGGGGGACCCACCGTCTTGTTCATCACTGTGTCCCTAACAGTCAGCACAGTGCCCAGCACACACTGGCTGCATTTTGGAAATTTGGAGAACAGATAAAGTTGATTTCAGAACCAACATTATCTAGGGAATGGGGTGATGGTTTGTGGTGCCTGACAACATGCCAGATAGGCAGACAGGTGGGCAGACAGAGAGGCACGCACACCCCTCTGCCTCACTTCTTCAACCCCAAGGTGAAGACTGGCACAAGGCAGGGAGGTGTGTAGCCCATCAGGGTGTAGGATATTCAGATCAAGCCAGCATTAGGATGTCTAACTGGGGAACAGTGACCGAGTTGAAAAGAAAAGATCAATCAAGTCCCTAACCCTTATTTCTTGGCCTCAGGCAGTGGTGCTTACAGGTGTGAGCATTTAGGCAAATGGAAGTGAGGGAAGCCTTGGCAGGAGCCCAGGCCCTGTGGTGCCAACATCTGTGCCAATGACCAGCAGGGAAGAGCAGGGCTGCTCTCCAGTGATGGGCACCTTGCTGCTAACCCATTCTCATGCCTGAAGCTGCCTGATCCTGAGGACTGTCAATCATTACACTCACTTCGTAGCACCAGGCAGAGTGCCTGGCACAGAGTAGGTTCTCATAACTATTTGTTAGGGGATGGACGATGAAGGAAATGAGGCCTGGAGAGATTAAAGGACTTGTCCAAGGTATGGAGTACGAGGTAGATACATAACTCAACTCAGGTCTGTTTGACTCTGGAAACCGAGAAGGGGTAAGGCTTCCATCTTACAGATACAAAGTGCCCAAAGAGGTTTTGAGTCTCAAGACAATAGAACACTGTCTCAATATAAGTCAACGCATCTTGTTTCTTTTTTAAATTTTTGTCTCTCTCTTCTCTTCTCTCTTTGTATCTCTTCCATCTCTCCATTTATCTTCCCCCCTCTCTCCCCCTCCCTCCC